GAAGTGTTATCCTGTCAAGGAACTCAAGGATCTCGTTATCTGATGGGTTTATCTGTGGCGTTACGTACGCTCCCCTTTTGGACCACTAGATGGCCTCAGTGGCTCCTGCCTCACCTGTCCCTTCCACCAGACGACCAGCTGTGGATGATTCCCAATCACTCACCAGCTGATAAAAGCCTGTCACCCTGTCCGAAATGGGGGGAAGGTCCAGGGAAGAGTGGGCACGGAAGTGTTCGCTCGGCTCTCTTCTCCTCCTGCGCTCGATTATTGTTAGCTTTGTGGTAAACTCGACCTTGGATTGTATTTTGGACGTTGAACTTGGTATTGCCCTGAGCGACCATGCTTATCAGGCCTGCTCCCGTTTTCGTTAAGGATATTAGTTAGAGTTTTTCGATTAATATTCCCAGCACCTTAGGGGCTGGCGCTTTCTGTTAAAACCCGTTACGTTTGTATATAACTCCTTTTGTTTTCGTGTGTATATATTTAATCTTTCGTTCTACTGCAAATATCTTTTAGTCCATTATTTTGTAATAAAATCCTTTGTTCAGCGACACTTTACTTTGTTATTATTAACCACACACTCTATTTTTATTACTCCCTGCACCACATCACTCCTAAATGAGCTGAGGGACATAATAGAGTGGGGGCTCGTCCAGGATTATTTTTCTATTTTTATCCCGTTATTTGAGTGTGTATAAATATTAACATTGTTTTGTGCCCCTTAGAGACTGAGCATGGCCTCATTTGACTTGCCTGCGTTTGTGGCGGCTCCTTCGTGCCGGCTGCTGGAGAGTTGCCGCAAACCCGACCTGCAGCAGGTTGCCGCCCACTTCAGTTTGCCTCTCCCAAAACAACTAACTAAAGATGCTCTGCGCCAGTTTATCGTGGATTACCTGGAGACTCAGGGGATCCTCCCTTCGCTGTCCACTCCAGGTGTGTCTCCGCCGCCCTCCTGTAAAGAAGACGAGGACCGGCTTGAAGAAATGAAGGAGACCCTCTTCGTGGCTCTGCCTTCTCCAGGAAAGGACTCAGCTGAATGCTCTCCTCCAAATTCAGCTTCGCCTGGAGCAAGTCCTCCTCGCTCCCCGCTAATGGGAGCTCGATTACAGCTACGGCTTGCCCGTCTTAAGATGCAGGCTGAGAAAAGGACTCATGAATGAAATCTTCGACATGAGATCGAAATGAAAAGCCTGGACGCCGAGATTCGCCTCCGTGAACTCGACCTTCAGATAAAGATGCTGGCCGCTGCCACTCCCTCGAGCCAGAATCTGGCTGCCGACCGCCCGACGGTCTTGTCTTCGCCTCCACGTACTGGGCCCCATGACGCCTCTTCTCCTCCGGGTGCCACTCCATTGACGCCTGCATTCGATGTCAGCAAGTGTGTCTCCCTCCTTCCACCGTTCCGAGAAACTGAAGTGGATGGGTATTTCCAGGCTTTCGAGCGGATTGTGGTGACTCTGCAGTGGCCTTGCGATCGTTGTGGTCGTTGCTTTTGCAGTGCAAGCCTGCGTCTGTGGCAGAGGAGGCGGTGACGACGGGCTCTTGGGGGCCTACGTCTGTGGCAGAGGAGGCGACGACGGGCTCTTGGGGGCCTGCGTCTGTGGCAGAGGAGGCGGTGACGACGGGCTCTTGGGGGCCTGCGTCTGTGGCAGAGGAGGTGGTGACGACTGGCTCTTGGGGGCCTGCGTCTGGGCCAGAGGAGGAGAGGACAATGAGCTCTAGGAAGCCTGTGTCTGGGACAGAGGAGGAGACGAGGATGGACTCTTGGGTGCCCGCGCATGATGAGGGCAGGACTGGTGGTAACCGGAGGCAGAGACGCCGGAGGAGACGTCCTAGACTTCTGGACTGGAGGCGGCATCGTCGGCCTCTGGACTGGAGGCGGCGTCGTCGGCCTCTGGGCTGGAGGCGGCATCGTCGGCCTCTGGGCTGGAGGCGGCGTTGTCGGCCTCTGGGCTGGAGGCGGCGTTGTCGGCCTCTGGGTCGCAGGCGGCGTCGACCACTGGACCGGAGACAGCGGAGATGTTGGACTGGAGGGGATGTCGACCTCTGGACACGAGGGAGCGTCGACCTTTGGACACGAGGGAACGTCAACCTCTGGACAGGAGAGAGCGTCGACCTCTGGACACGAGGGAGCGTCGACCTCTGGACAGGAGAGAGCGTCGACCTCTGGACTGGAGAGAGCGTCGACCTCTGGACTGGAAAGAGCGTCAACCTCTGGACTGGAGAGAGCGTCGACCTCTGGACTGGAGAGAGCGTCGACCTCTGGACTGGAGAGAGCATCGACCTCTGGACTGGAGAGAGCGTCGACCTCTGGACTGTAGAGAGTGTCGACCTCTGGACTGGAGAGAGCGTCGACCTCTGGAGTGGATGAGGCGCCGACCTCTGGAGTGGATGAGGCGTCGACCTCTGGCCTCTGGAGTGGATGAGGCGTCGACCTCTGGAGTGGATGAGGCGTCGACCTCTGGAGTGGATGAGGCGTCTACCTCTGGAGTGGATGAGGCGTCGACTTCTGGTCCATCAACTTATGAATCGTCGACTTCTGGACCGTCGACTTCTGGTCCGGGGGCGTCGACTTCTGGTCCAGGGGCGTCGACTTCTGGTCAATCAACTTCTGAACCGTCGACTTCTGGACCGTCGACTTCTGGTCCGGGGGCGTCGACTTCTGGGCCGTCGACTTCTGGACCGTCGACTTCTGGTCCGGGGGCGTTGATTCCTGGTCTGGAGGCATCGACTTCTGGTCCGTTGACTTCTGGACCGTCGACTTCTGGACCCTCGACTTCTGGTCCGGGGGAGTCGACTTCTGGTGCGGGAGCGTCGATTTCTGGACCGTCGACTTCTGGACCGTCGGCCTCTGGAATGACGGCTTCTGGACCGCCGGCTTCTGGAGTGGAGGAGGAGTTGCTGCAGATGGGACTGCTTGGACAGGCTGGACCGGATGCGATGCGACCTCCGGGACCACCGCTGGAACTGGATGCGATTGAACTGGTGGTGCTGGAAACTGGGAGAGGAGGGAGGATAGAGTGTCCAGTTGGAGCTCCTGGAGACTGAGGCGCAGTGCGCGGCTCTGGTAGTGATCAAGTTAAATGTTATCTCTTTCCAACGATTTTCACAAGAAAACAGAACAGTTAAAGGCAGGGCTTGTGTTGTGTTGACCGGACAGTTCTTTGACAGTTTATTTTGACGGAGAAAGAATAGAAAGAATTACCCCGATGCATGCAGATGAACTGACATTTTATTCGTTCCGCACATCACAGATGTAGCTAAATCACCCAAGAACAGATTCCCATCTGAAAATCTGAGCTGGACACTGCTCAGCGCAGCTCGCTGTCAGCACGTACATAAGGTGCACAGCGAGCTGAAGATGTGGAGAGGGGCTTGGAGCGCATTGTAGAATCAGAGCGCATGCGGGAAGGTTCCTCCCACTGAAGCGAATGTTTTCCAAACCCTGTCTCTCAGAGAGACTTGTCACTTAGAAAATGTTTCTGATTATGAAACTTTGGCTGAATAAAGCTTGTTCCCATCTCCAATGTGGCGACGCATCCATGAGCCTGTCTGAGGAGAAGCCCAGAATCTCACATCCTCTTCAACTCAGAAAGCTCCGATATGATTACGCACAAGCGTGACCCATCAACCCGGTCGGAACTGTTCAGGTTTACGCAGACAATCTTTACATTTAGAATTGGCATACAGACATAAAATTAAGTAAAGTATAAAGCATTTTTTAAAATATCCATTCATTATTTTACAAGCACAGAGAGCCGCATCAGATGGATGGAAGAGCCGCGGGTTGTCAACCCCTGGTATAGCCTATAAAATGACATGTTTTCTCCAGGACCAGAGAGGACACAAACTCAATGCATCTCTTTTATTGTGAGGTAATAATTTCTCCGAGTTTTGCAGTTGCAGGCGGGAGTAGACATGCACACTGCGGGTGCAGGGCGGGAGTGTAAAACACACGTTGCGGTTGCGGGCGGTAATGGTCAGAAATTCAGCGGGAGTGGGCAGGAGCGGGATGAGGAAAACAGTCCTGCGCGCGCAGGGCTCTAATCTGCGGCTTTTAGCCCAGTGTGGCTTGTATTGAGGTTCGTTCTTTAGTCCGGAAATTACGGTAATATAAAATGTTCATATTAGGGCGGGGGCCACAAATCATTGTCCTGCGGGCCGCAATTGGCCCGCGAGCCTGAGACTCCTGGTATACTATATTTCCTAGTTGAGTCTTTAACAGCAGATATGGTAGTTTTCTCTTTATTTTAATTGGCTAGCTAAAAATGTTCCTGATTTTGTACTATGTTCAAAGTTTTCTATTCATAGTCTTTGTGCTAAAAATTGTGTCTTTTTGTCAATAATTCCATGAAGTTCTAATTTAGCTTTACGTAATTTGCTCGGTAACTCTTCTTCCGTGGATGCCTCTAAAGACTTAATGATTTCTTCTAACTCCTGAATACATTAGTTTTCTGTTTTTTTTTTCTTATGTGATGAGAAAGAGATTATTTTACCTCTCATCACTGCCTTTCCTGCCTCCCAGAGAACAGATGCTGATGTTCCAGGCAGGTCATTATGTTCTAAATATAAAGCCCACTCCTTTTTAAAAAATTCTATAAAACCTTCATCTTTAAGCAGTGATGTATTAAACCTCCAGTTTTTGCTTGGTGGGATTGTCTTCTTGTTTACCGGAGTCAAAGAAACCGGAGCATGGTCGCTGATACACGTGGTACTTTGGACTATTCAAGAAGATACTTCCAGCGAGTGAATGGGGACATTACAGTGTGGAAAAGTACGGAGTTGCAAAAGTCTGCGAAAAAAACGCTTCACGTGTGGCACTCAAAATATTTAGATAAGGTTGGTAGGTCTGCATTAAAGGACTCCACCATCTCCCTGCATCACAGAACCTCATTCCCCTGCACATGGATGCTCCTCAACTCCTCATCACGATCTCTTTCTTTTGGCTTAAAGGATATATATATATATATACATATATATAAATTTCAAGACAAACAAACTGACTTTCGGAATATTTTTATTAATGAAAACAAACATGTTTAAACAGGTTTAATCCCTACAATTGCATTTAAAATGCAGTGTGTGCATCAGTATCCATCTTCTGTACCTGCTTGTCCACGCAGGGTCACGGGTGGACATCAGTAGAAAGATAAACTTAAAAAAGATGCTCTTTGCAGAGCCTGCTCTACATGATCAAATATATACATCCTAACAGTTAATTCTCTCTCATAATTTATCATTAAGCTTGACTTTAAACTGAACAGCATCAAATAGGACTATAGTCAGTGCATGTGAGTGTTTATGTTGAGTAGTGTGAAAAGCCCAGGCTGGAATGACACTATAAAGACAAATATGGCAACTCCCATAATATATTATTTCACCTTTTTGGTGCCTTTTTATTATTTCTGTTCTGACTAAAACAACAGCTCTACCTATAAATATACCATAATTTCTGGACTATAGAGTGCACCTCAATCAGTGGCGGCGCTGGGTTGGGGGGGTGGGGGGGGGGGGGGGGCACTAGGGAGCGCTATAGCTACCCCTGGATTAGTCATAGCACCCCCCAAGTAAATATTAGATTTTTATTATTATTATTTTTTTTTTTACAATTTAATTTAACGTGTGGATGTGGTAATATTTAACATATAAAAAAAAATCATATGAACTCATACGTGTAGTTACCATGATGAGGGGGTATGGATTTTAAAAAAATTCTTCGTCGTGCCGGCTGCTTGCATGTGCTAAATTAAAATGAGCACTTTCTTTGGTTTCCAATTTTGACTTCCACCCGTTTCACTTTCTGCTAAAGCGCCCCCTAGTGGCAGGTGAAGGAAAATCTTCAGTACCTCATTATAAGCCGCATGGTTCAAAGCGTGGGAAAAAAGTAGCGGTGTATAGTCCGGAAAATACGGTAAGAATAATAATGAAACTCTTCTTCAACTCTGTGAAGCAGCTGCCATTTTGGAAAACCATCAGTATGCTCACTTTTGACACATTGGAAATATAATATTAAATATACCTACTGACCTAGTAGAATTGTTAATGGAATATTAAGTACTGCATCAGTGTCAGAAAGAGCGTATTGACCTTCAGATGAAGAAACCAGTCAAAATCAACAAATGTAAAAATAATAAGAAAACAAGTAGCTGTTAATAACGTGTTTGTACAGTTGAGACAGGAAGCAACAGCATAACGTGCTCAAGGTGGAGAAAGTTTTGCTTCAGAAAATATAAAATAGTGACTAAAATGATCAGCTTTCTTTACCAGCAGTGATGATGCTCCTTTCTGTGTTGTTTCAGTACCAGCAACCCTCTACCTCTACACCAGACCCAAAGTCCTACAGCTCCTGTTTCCTGTTGCTATGCTATAACAGTCCTGACAGTAGAACAGGCAGACGGCTTCAGTGTCACAAGTCTGTGACTTTATTCTCCACAGCAGCAGCTATCTGCTGCAGTCGGTAACCAAGCTGCATCTTTTGGGCCGTGGTGTCCTCCTCCAGTGCCGTGATGATCTGCAAGGGGGACAATACACACACAAAGTGATAGATAAACATATAAATGTTCATAAACAACATGTAGTGATCACGTTTGGCCTAAAGCTCCAAACTAAAGCATATCTATATCTGGCTCAGAGGTTATGGGTTCACCCTCGGAACTCATAATTGACTTCTGGGATTGACCTCCATATTCTTTTGAACATCCGTAGGACTGTAACAACACACTAATCTAGCTCTAATGCACTGTTGAAGGGAGTTTTTGTTTTAGCCCAAATGTAATCCTGTTCCTTATTTCTGCTTACAACTAAACAGATTCATACAAAAGCCTCGATAACTACCTGACTTTTTGAATTATTGTGGGTAAGGATGTGGTCACCTCCCACTTTGACTCAAACAGTGAGATCTGACGCTGATGTTCACCTCGGATCTCTTTAGAAGTTTTTCTGGGCCCTTTTGTTACCATTCACATCATCTGTCTCTGATTTGTCATCAATGTTCTTCGTGGAGCCATATCCAGAGAGGTTGGCTGCAGTCCCGTGGATCTGAAAGTCCTGCATATTACGTGCAGCTGTAGTCACAGGAATATCTAGCTGCTTGGAGAAGGTCTTATAGCCCTTACCTTTAACATGCTTGTCTAAAATTGTCTTTCTAATCTCTGAGACAACTCTCTGCTTTGCTTCTTCTGGTCCATGTTCAGTGTGATACTCACTATGAGTATCTTGGCACAGACGGCGCCTGTGCTTGGCTTAGCCGCAGTCACCGGCCACTTTTTCAAACTTTTCTCCACTAACCTCAAATTTTCCACCTTGCTTCAGTAGTGTCCCTGCTACCATCTCCTATGGTCGCCAGACTCTTTTGTCCTTCCGTTCATTCATGATCGCCCAAGATGCACCGAGGACGTACCTCCCTGTTTGTTTATCTGAGTGATGCACTGGCCCAGAGCCAAACGACGATCCCAACCAGTGCGCCTCCAGCGATGTTTATCCAATGCCGGGAAAACGTCGGAGGGAAAGAGGTAAACGAGCAGGAATCCAGGTGAGAATAAGACTTCTCTTAAAGTGTGGTTTATCTAGTAAACATCGGCGTGATCTTCTAGCTTCTTGTCCTTTGTTTGGCGACTTGAGCGCCACTTCCACATTCCCGCCAGGCCGCGTTGCAGCGCGGTTTCTCCGTCCATGTTTTTTAAGGTCGGTTTATCCTCGTTCCTCAGTGGTTTCTCCTCCTGTTCCCTCCATAGGTGTTTTTTATAAACACAGTGGATCTAACCCTGCTAATTTACGTCCACTAACTCCAGCTGTTTCTGTAGTTTCTGATTCCTCCACCACACTCAGTATGGCTCTGTTAAATACCCGCTCTGTTAACAACAAGTCCATCCTACTCAATGATTTAATTCTGTCTAAAAACCTGGATTTTCTGTTTCTGACTGAAGTTTGGCAGCAAACATCTGATTATTCTGCTCTAATTGAACTCTGCCCGAGTGGTTATTCTTTTCTTAGCCAGCCCGGGGGTTCTGGTCATGGTGGAGGCCTAGCTGTTGTTTTCAGAGACCATCTTCCATGTAGCTCTACAACCTCTGATCACTTTGCTTCCTTTGAACTGCAGCTGATTAAATTCGGGCGTAAGGACCCGTTTTACTGTGCTGTGGTCTATCGTCCACCTGGTCCAAACAGTTCTTTCCTTCAGGAGTTTAGTGACTTTCTATCCTCCACTGTGAAGCTGTCCAGACTGGTGATTGTTGGTGACTTTAACATCCACGTTGATGATCCCTCTGACCACTTTGCGATGAATTTCTCCAGCCTTATGGACTCCTTCAGCTTTACCCAGCATGTTTCTGGCCCCACACACACCAGGGGGCACACTCTAGACCTTGGTTTTACCCTGAATCTAAATGCTGACAGTGTTTGTCCTGAGGACGTTTATATTTTCAGATCACCATTGCATTTTCTTCAACTTGTCAGTTTCTGCGTCCCCACCTCCTGCTCGCCGTATGGTTAGTTCTCGTTTTCTTAATGAGAGCACAGCTACCAATTTTTCTGCTGCTTTTGATCCACCCTGTTCTTCTGATAACGACCCAGATTCCTTAACTTCTCAGTTTAACGAGCACTGCCTCTCTATTCTGGACAACATCTGTCCTGTCAGAACCAGATAAGTTCCTGCAGTGAACCCTACTCCCTGGTTTAATGACAGCCGTCGCAGCCTAAAGCGCCAATGCAGAACAACTGAGCGCTTGTGGAAGAAAACCCATCTCCACATCCATCTGCTGCAGGAGCTTCTGACATCCTTTAACTCTGCAGTCAGAGATGCTAGGGTTTCCTATTTCTCCAACCTGGTGTCCCAGAGCAAAGGGAACCCCAAGGTGCTGTTTAACACCATCAGCAGCATCGTCTCTCCTGCCTCTCCTACAGCCTCCATCCACTCTGTTGCAGACTGTGAGAACTTTGTCTTTCTTTGTGGACAAAGTCAATAAGGTTAGATCTAGCATCTCTCCTTCAGCCTTATCGCCGCCTCTCCCGACTCCAACCAGGCCCATCGTCCTAGATAGCTTTGCTCCTGTTTCTTTGCCTGAGTTAACCAAACTAGTTAACTCTATGAAGACCTCTGCATGCCCCCTCGACATCTTACCCTCATCTTTGTTTAAAAGTGCTTTTCAGTCCATCGGTCCCAGCGTGCTCTCTATAATTAATGCTTCTCTGGTTTCTGGTCAGGTCCCTGCTTTCTTTAGGAATGCTGTAATCCACCCGCTTCTTAAAAAACCGAGTCTCGACCCCTCTCTCCATAGCAGCTTCAGATCATCCCTAAACTTCCGTTCATCTCCAAGATCTTGGAAAAGGTTGTGGCTAAACAACTCACAGCTGCTCTTGATGAACATAACATCTATGATAGCTTCCAGTCAGGTTTTCGTAGAGCTCATTCTACTGAAACAGCTCTTCTTAGGGTCTCTAATGACCTTCTGACTCACAGTGATGCAGGGGGCTGTTCTGTTCTGGTCCTGCTGGACCTGACTGCAGCCTTTGACACTGTTGACCATCACCTGCTACTGGAGAGACTAGGTAGTCCTATCAGGATCTGCTCTGGAGTGGTTCTCCTCTTATCTCTCTGAGCGCTCCTTTTCTGTGGCCGTCTCCAAGTTTAGGTTCTCCACCACCTCTCTTACCCGTGGTGTCCCACAAGGTTCTGTGCTGGGGCCTCTACTCTTCCTCCTCTATCTGCTTCCTCTTCAGCACATCCTGAGCTCCTTCAAAGGAATCTCCTACCATCTTTATGCAGATGACATCCAACTGTGCATCTCCTTTAAGCCCCATGAGATGTCTAAGCTGCAGCTGTTACACACCTGCTTAGACTATCAAAACCTTGATGGCTAGGAGCTTTCTACAGCTGAATGAAGATAAGACTGAGATCATAATTTGTGCCCCAGACAAGCTGGTTCCCAAAGTCAGAGACTCTCTTGGTCAGCTTGCTTCTCACACCAAACCTTCCTTCAGGAATCTTGTGGGCCATTCCCATCTGTACCGGGCCGGGTAGCGTAGGTTGTTTACATATCTGGGTGGCCTGGTATTTTTCCGGGCCAACCAAGGCTCATTCTCAGCCCTCTTCTCGAGGGGGTCTGCTTCAGGCCGACCAGGGCCAACACACCCACTGCTGACAGCAAATTCACACCTTCCATTAGAGCAAACCTCTGATTGGTGGGTAGAATCAGCCCACATGGGCTTAAGGCAAGGATGTGTGGAATCAACCGGGCCAGGCTGGGGCCAACTGGGGCTACCCGGCCCGCGCCGACCCGGTACAGATGGGAATGGCCCATTGGCGTGACCTTTGACCCAGCTCTCACCCTGGATTCTCATGTCAGTTCTCTTGTTGGCTCTTCCTTCTTCCATCTCAGGAACGTTGCTAAGCTGAGTCCCATTCTGTCCCGCTCTGAACTTGAGACAGTTCTCCACACCTTCATCTCCTCACTCTTAGACTACTGTAACTCTCTTTTCACGTGTCTGAGCAGAACCTCCCTGAACCGTCTACAGGTGGTTCAGAATGCCTGTGCTCGGCTTCTGACCAAGTCCTCCAAACACACCCACATCACCCCGCTTCTCCTCCAGCTTCACTGGCTGCCAGTCAACGTCAGGGTTTATTTCAAGATCCTGGTTCTGGTCTATAGGGCCTTACATGGACAAGCACCATCTTACATTGGTGATCTTCTTAGTCCCTACACCCCCAGCAGGTCCCTGAGGTCCAGTGATCAAAGCCTACTGGTTGTGCAGCACCAGGCTAAAGACCAAAGGTGACAGATCATCTGCTGCTGTGGCCCCCAGACTCTGGACCTCTCTCCCCCTGAGCCTGAGATCAGTGGACTCAGTGGTCTCCTTTAAAAAGCAGCTGAAGACTCACTTGTTCAAGCTGGCTTTTGTATGACCTTCTTCACCTCTCTCTCTTTATTCTGCTCTCCCACCTATTTCACCTTCCTCAGGATCCACGATTTCCCTCTTTCCTATTCTCTCTCTCTCTCTTTCTTAACATTTTTTTAAATAACAATTGTCTATTTTTTGCTCATTTTAAATATATTTTTAATCATTTTCTAAATTCTTTTTTATATTTTTTACATTTTTTGTTTTTGTGAAGCGTCTCGTGATTTTTATCTTGAGGCGCTATAGAAATGATATTTTCTTCTTCTTCTTCTTTGTCACTACAACACAATGACCACCTGGAGCCCTATATGCAGACCCTAGTTAAAATACCTGGTCATAGTATTTGTTGATGTACTTGTACAGCTCATGCAGTGCAACCAGGTAGTTCAGTTCTCCAGAGTAGTTCTGAAACACAAAGCATTCAGGTGAGTTATGAAGCTAGTTGTCTGTAATCTGTGAGATGCGGTCGGACTCACCCTGGACAGTTCAGCCAGGGCTGAGTTCATCTCCTGGTCACTGGCTGATATCGTCTGTCTGATGTCAGCGTAGTATCTACACAAAGGTGTTTAACACTTACAACTCATGCAGACTACCAGGATGATACGTTTAAATAAGAGATTGTTCCGTTTTAGAGTTGGAAAGGAAAAATTAAAAAACATTAAAAAAATGCTGCTAGCACTTCTTTTGGATAAGGACTTGTTCTGAGGATTATGCTGAAGCTAAGCTGACCTTTCCACCATCTGTTTGTAGCGAGGAATGTCTCTGGCATACAGCAGCTTGTTGATGGGAGAATCCTGTTCCACAAACAAAGAAGATCCAATAATACCAAACAAGGACAACCCCCTCTTCATTTACACATATGTGTGTAAAACAAGACATCTGTCTCACACTTATTTATTCCTGATTTCTAGTTTAGAACCGACACCCACCCGCCCAAGCTTGTGCTCTGCAGTGGTGCAGGAGTCCATAAAGGTCTGGGTGATGACAGACAGGACAGCATCTACGTGATCTGACACCTGGACATCAAAAATAAACTGAGGGTTCTTGAGGATGTTGATCCAAAAACGTAGAGGGAGGCTGGAGTAAAAGAAAAAAGATTGAGTTCAGCTCATCTTTCAGTTGACTGCCAGACTCTCTGATTCCCAGGCTGATGTTACCTGTTGGTCTTCCAGATGTGGATGGTCTCAGAGTCAGTGATGCAGTGTTGTCCTGCTTGGTCGTCCAGCAGATCAAAGAAATATTTAACAGATAGGGGAACAGGACGGCTCGTGCTGAGGATTACGGTGAACAAATCATCTACAAACTTCTGTAGTGTCCCCTGAGTAACATGAAAGATAAAAGACCAAATATTATCACTGAAGGTGTCAGTCCTTGGTCATACTGTGGAGGTGTAAGGACAGAAGGTAGTTGTTCTGCAATACCTTTAGCGAAACAAAAATAATCATAATTATTTAGATGATCCATCCATCCTTTCTCTTCTGAGAGCCCAGCCAATTATTTAGATGAGTTGGTCCGTTAAGACGCAGCGAGGCTTCTGGTTGTTATGAATTCCAACACCAAGCAAAAAATTTCAACTCTCCTGTTTCAGATTCCATACATTTTTTATCCATTTCTCCTTCTATTATTTTTCAGCAGATTTGGTATCACAGCGTTCAGCTCAACCCAGGTTCAGCTCACTATTTTTAGTATTGATACCTTTAATATTTTTGGAGAATGTCAGCATTTTTTGTAGCTTTTTGGTCCGTTGGAGCACATGGAAACTTCTCCAAATCCTACACTTTCAGCAGTTTGAGCTTTAACCTCTTTAGCTTACTTTAACCTAGAGACTACATTCAAAGTTTAAAGCCATCACATGATATTCAGCTATTGCTGTAACATTCAGCTTTACGATATATTTGACCGGTTTTCTAAAATCACAGGTACGTTTTAAGTACAACTATTGGATCTTTCAGAAAATTTCATGAGTGTTATAATGACAAGGTAAAGGATAGATGACCTAACTTTTATCTATTTCAGGCTGAATCCTGGGAGAACTATAGGCCCTATCAAAATGAGAAGCACAATGGCTAAAACTTGACAAATATTTTTTGAGCCATAATTCATGAATGTACAAAAAAAATTGTGGTAGAAGTGTTCATTTGTTTGCGAAAACTCAAGTTAACCTTTGTTCCTAGCAATGGCCGCTAGTGATTTTTATTTATTTTAATTTTTTTGGTGGGGCACAATGTAACAGGTGTTGTACCGAAAAGAGCATGCCAGTCAAGATTTGCATGACCTGTTATGGGAAGGTGCATATGAACATGGGGGGTTTTGGGGGGAGGACATGCCCCCCTCACTTTTTCCAAAGTCAGTTTTAGTCCCCTGCACTTTTTACCATCCAAAAACTATACGCTATATTAAATAGACACTGGTTAAGCACTAGGATCAAGCAGAAAACAACCGCAGAAACATTTTACTGCCACTTGTGTACTTGACAGTTCTAAATTCATGACATTGAATAAAAGTTTTATACATATTTTTTGTACACTTAGTGTAAAGATTTTATTCATAATTTCATCATATTTCTGGTTCTTCATAATAACAAAACTCGATGAGGTGTACTCAGCTGCTCTATAACAGCAAAGGACTGTTTCTCTAAGTCTGGTCTGGACATGAGACCAGCTCAGTGGCCTAGTGGTAGAGTGTCCTCCCTGAGACTGGGTTCGATTCCTGGTCGGGTCATACCAAAGACTTTGAAAAAATGGGACCCAATGCCTCCCTGCTTGACACTCAGCATTAAGGGGTTGGATTGGGGGGTTAAACCACCAAATGGTTCCCAAGCGCGGCTGTGTCTGCAGCTCACCGCTCCCCCAGGGGATGGGTCAAATGCGGAGAACAAATTTCGCACACACAGTGTGTGTGACAACTAATGGGACTTTAACTTTAACTTAACTCTTGATATTTGATGAAGGCGATAAAATACCAATTTAGTTATAGCCTTAATATGTCCAGAGAAGCACAGGTTGGAGTCGATAATAACACCAATATTTCTAATCTAGGTTTTTGTCTTTATTCCCCTCGAGTCCAGCTGAGCAATAACATCCATTCTAACCCTCTTGTTGCCAAAGACAATAACTTCAGTCTTGTTATTGTTTAGCTGAAGGAAGTTTGACTGCATCCAGTCATTTACTTGTTCTAGACACTGACAGAGTAAGTCCAGTGGCCGACAGTCACTAGGTGATAAGGCTAGGTAGATCTGGGTGTCATCTGCAAAGCTGTGATAGGCTATGTTGTTATTAAGTCTGACCTGACTCAAGGGGAGCATATAGAGTGGTCCTAGAATTGATGATCTGCTTTGATAGGTAATCCCTAATAGAGAAAACATAGCCCCGTCTTTGAGATAGGATTGGAACCAGCCAAGAACTATGCCTGATAGTCCCACCCAGTTTGTGAGTCTGTCCAGAAGGATGTTATGGTCCACAGTATCGAAAGCTGCACTGAGGTCAAGCAACATCAGGACAGATGCTCTACCTATGTCAATGCTGAGGCGAATGTCGTTTAATACCTTGATCAAGAAAGACTGAGGAGACTTAGGGCATCAACGAATGGAACACGGTCAGAAAAACAGGACCCAATCCAGGAAGGATCTGGTTGGGAGATTGTAAAATGTTACGTGCTCTGCCCCTTTCCGGCCACAAGATGGCCTCAGTGGCTCTTGCCTCGTCTGTCTCCCGCTCAGCTGTGTGTAATGGGCAATCATGGATCAGCTATTAAAAGCTGCTCTCCTACCCTCAGTCTTTGAGAAGGTACGGGAAGTGCGGGTACGGAAGTTTTCTCTCGTTTCTCCTTGTAGTGCTCATTGAGTTAGCTTCATTCGTTAGTAAACTTAGATTCGGATTGACTTTTGGACAGACCTTAGACCGCCCCCGACTTGACTTTGTCTTTGCCCGAGCGTCACTGCTTTTCAGGACGGTTCCCGTTTTGTTTAGGATTATCGTAAGAGTATTTCAGTTAACTAGTTTCCCTCTTCCCATGCCCTTTTGGCTTGGCGCTTTTTGTTAGTCCGTTTTTCCTTCTGTATATACCAGCTGTCATGACCTCTGTATTCCTGAGCTCCGTTCTACATAATAAGCCGTGTCTGGCTTGTATACAAATGAAAAGCCACCCCTTCCTCCTTCTCCACCTTTGCTCCTCGGCTCAGACGATAAGATGGGGAGACGGTGCTGGGAGTTCCCCCTGTCTCACGCAACGTTAGGAGAGGAACAAAAGGCTTACGAAACATTACAGGAAAGTTTTCAGGACTTAGAAAATGCCACAGAGGGAGTAACACCTACGACCTCAGGGTATTTCAGAGAAAATGACATTTTGATGCAGTTCTGGAAAAATTCCGTTGCTAAAGGAGCAGCCTGGGGCACAGTTAACCAGGTAGTAATCCCTTTAAAGTACCGGCCACATATATTAGGCCTGGCTCATGAGAGTCAGTGGGCGGGTCATCCAGGAGTCCGCAAAACGTATCTCCTCCTCCTGGAAAATTTATTTTGGCCAGGAATGAAAGAGAGTGTTAGAAAATATTGCAGAGACTGTCATGTGTGCCAGATTGCTGGGAAACCAAACCAACCTCCAAAACCAGCCCCGCTCAATCCAATTCCAGACACCAGGCCCAGATAGGTTTTCAGTTGTATTTTTCAAAACATTTGCAGACAAACTGGCTCCATTCCTTTTATCAGTCTATGACAAATCATCTGAACGTGGTCTATTGACCCCTGCACTAACTCAAGCACTTATTACGGTTCTTCTGAAGGACAAAGACCCTACTCTTGTACTTCATATAGGCTTTTTCACTTATTAATGTAGACATTCAATTTTTAGCTAAAAATTCCACAGGAAGAAGATATCACAAAATATAAAAAGAACATGACAATTAAACTAAATGATCTACTGTAAACATCATACTGACTATAAGGCTCAAGTGCGGTGTATAATCTGCATGTTGTCCCTGAGCTCCTGGTTGCAGGTGGGTGTGTCTGGAAGCTCCCAGCTGCTGCTGGTTTGTAATCAGCCTGGCCAGGGGTTTTAAGCCGCAGTGAGACACTCAGGGTGTTTCTCAATGTCAAGGCACCTGGCCTTGCGAGGCAATATCTTGCAAGGCCAGGCGTCCTGCTTACGCGCCTGTTTGCGCACCTCAGGTCTCCGCACCGGAGCAGAGCCGTTGTAGAGGGGGTACCAGTAAAAATTGAGTTCAGAAGCGAGCGGCTGTGGAAGGCGGGGGTGGAGGTAGTGGAATTTTGGGGTGACTGTGTACGACTGTATATGTCAGGTGGGGCCTTTGACTCCTCCCCTCTCCTGGGATTTCTTGTGCTGCTACACATCTTCGCCTCCCCTCCCCCGTCACACCTGGTGTGGAGTGCGGTGCCTTCGTCTGCCTGAGTGTTCATGGCTCCCGGGTCAGGGGGTTTAAGATTTTTAGCATCTGCCTGATTAATCTCGGTGGCTGCCTGGTGGGATCTGGGTCCCTTGGCTCTGTTGGGTCCCCGGCGGGGCTGGTCGCCCCTGGGTCCCGGGTCGTGGTGGGAGGCTGCGGGCGGGTCTGTAGGCTTGTTGCTGATGTCCATCGCAGGAAAACTGCAGTCGTTCAACATGCTCAAAACTCTGTTTCAGTTGCCACAAAGCCAGATTTGGAAATATCTACAGCTTAGCCACCTAACGCTCCAAACATTTGGCTTTGCCACCCCACCCCCCGCAAATAATCTTACTTTAATCAAAAAGAGTTTCGTGAGGCTGGGAAGCTCCTAAATACTACTGTTAGCTCCTTGAAGACATGGGCAGGGGCTTTCCCCGCCTGGCAAAAGGATCTTGCGGTCCAATTCACTGACCACAAATGGGCCACAATTCTTCTAAATACCAGAAAGGTGTCCAGGGTACAAGACTAACCCAGTTCAACCTATTACATCAAATATACTGGACACCACTTAGACTATACAGGGCAAAACTTGTTCAGTCCCCGGAGTGCTGGAGATGTCAAGGTGAGGAAGGAACACTGACGCATATGGTCCTGAGCTGCCCTAAAATCTGCGGATTTGGGAGAACATCCAGAAATTTGTCAATTAGGATGTGCAGCTGGAAATTCCATCGTCAGCTAGACCGGGGGTCGGGAACCCGTGGCTCTTTCACCCATCTGATGCAGCTCCCTGTATTTGTAAAACAATGAATGAATATTTAATAAAAATGTTTATTTTACTGCAATCATTTTTATCTGTATGCCAATTTTAAATGTAAAAATGGTCACTGTTTAAATCTGAAACAAAAATGATAAAGACGTGAAATGACAAGTCACCTGCT